GAGAGAGAGAGAGAGAGAGAGAGAGAGAGAGAGAGAGAGAGAGAGAGAGAGGAGAGAGAGAGAGAGATACCTAGTTTGACCGTTATCTGTGACTGTTAAAGTACGGAAGAGTGACCTGGCTGGACTGATATACAATACCTCTCTTCTTACATTTAGGAGTCATCGTCATCTCTGTATCATTGTGGATAAATAGTTTATTTGTTTGAGTAAAGCAAAGTACGTTGACCGAATAATGGCCATTTAGTGCTGGGAAAAGGTAAGACAGACAGAAACAACAGAAGGAAAGTAAAAGAAGTAGGACCTACCAGTGGCGCGTGGACAAATAAGTATGGAAGAGGGACAGCGTCTGTGGTGTAGCAGTTAGGCGCTCCGCTGTCACACGCAGGAGACCCGAGTTCGATTCTCATGTAGGGAGAATTTCTATTGAGTGCCTGGAGGTGTCATCTCCAACTCTGAGGTTGACGAGTAATGACCCTTCATCCTTCACGGTCGTCAGCTGCCGTTGCACACTTTGCTATAGCCAGGCCAGTCAATGTTTTTATGTTGTCCGTCCATTTTACTCTGTCTTCCCCTGGCTCTCCTGCCCCACATCCTTCCTTCAACTTTAAGCACCGCTTTCCCCTCTTTCTATCGAGTATCTCAGACTTTCTTGAGACGTTGTATCCCTCTCAGCTCAGGCAGGTTCAAGCCTGCCTCCAAAGTGATCTAAATTGTGTAGATGGGGCGCGAAAAAAAGTAGTTGCAAAAATGTAATTAAAATAAAGATTTTTAAAAATAATTAAAAGTACCCTAAACTGTATCGAAATTGCTATCAATGATCAATGAAGACTCACAAACAGGTTAATTTAGGAGCATTTTATTGATATTGTCACTGGTAAGTAAAGACATCACAAGGAATCACCACCCATCGGCTCATCCACACCCCAGGTGTCCCCAAGTACTCTCTTTACAATAAGAAGAAGATGCAGTAAAAACTCTGCAAAGTGACAACCCCGCATTTCTCTCAAACGTCAACAGTAAGGGTAGACAAGTAGTAGTTAGTGTGTCACTATAATGAAATCAGGCGCTCGTCAAAATAATGATATTGAAGAAACCAGAATTTTTTTTCCACTCTTTGGGCAATTTTTATTCAACTTTTTATTTTGGGCTCAGAATCTTTTCAGTACATTTTTAAAAACACATTTCTGTGTGGATTTTACTGAAAAATAATCATCAAAAGCATGAAAAAAAACAAAATATTGGCAGTTTCTCAAGCTTTGAAAGACACCGAACTTTGCCAGCTATTTTCTCGTGAATCTTACCTCTGACATCAAACGACCCCCACCTCTTTCAATTTCAAATACCTCCACTTCTATTCAAGAAAACAAAAAAATGGAGCTATTTTTAAAAAATCAAATGCAAGACAAATGAATAAGCTTGAAAAGTATATCAGTGACTCCATATATATGCACAAAAATTGACTCATGCCTCACGGCGTCACTTTTCGCCCGATTCTGTTACTTTTAGTTCGCGTGACTCAGCAGCCCGCCGGAGCTTCCTGGCTCGGGGTCAAGGGGTTAATGAGCCCTGAAGCGACTTAGCCGGTGTCGGTTAGGAAGCTCTCATTTTTGACTATGTTTAAAACAATATAACTTCTTCCCCATCCCACATAGCAAACCATTACGCGGATGTACTAAAAGCTCAATGTCTTGAGATTTATTCTGCATTAGAATGGTTAATTTCTGTGCCTTAGTTTTTGTTCTAGACAAGTGTTTGTAGAGTACCCAATTTGTCCTATTTTAGTTACAAACTTATGAATAAATGATTGTTAATTTAAAAAAGGCACGACAGATCTCTCCAAAATCTGTGTTAAACTGACTACGAATATCATGTCTTTTACCATGAGAAATCTTAAATCTGCACGAGTAGAAATAGTCAAGTTATAAGAGAAGAAAGATGCACATCTGCATTTTTAAACTAAAGACGATCAGCGTTAGCTCTTATTTTACTATTAAACAAGAGAAAGTTACTCTGCATTTGTTCATGAATCATGTTGTGTCTGTTACAGCTTGCATATAACTAAAAAGATATAATATAGAATCTAAGCTATTAAAAAAAAACACAAAACCGTATAAATACATGGGTAGAGATAAACTTCTTGAATGGAATAAATATAGTGACAGCTAACACATTCATTCTTAGTTTTTGTGTTGGAAATATGCATGGACACAATTATGAATGTAAAGAAATCAGTCACATTGTCAGTTATTGCAAATGGTCATAGAAACGAAAAATAAAGCTGGAAAAGTCTGGAGCTGATTCAGTGCCCCTGGAAAGCTGGAAATTATTCTTATAACCCAATTACGAGAAGTCATCCCTATTATTCAGTCAACTTACTAAACCTAGACTCGGCGTTTTAAGAAAAGTAAGGAATTTCTGGAGTGTAACAGATGCTGTTCGTGTATTAGATCTACATTGAAGATGTATTCTAGCACTAAAATCAATTTGTACTTTTCATAGAGAAACTTCTTGGTGACTTTTATAAATTTTCGAGAAAATATGCGAATATTCACGATTATATTAGACACATAAAGTTGTATATGGCGGAATTACTTCACAGCGAATTGTGTGCCTGATGGATAAAGTTGCAAAATTACAGCTTTCTATTATATGCGCAGATACCATCTTTTCTGAGTATCTGCACCAATGCTGTGTTGTTCATGTTCCAAAAGTTCGACAGACTTTGACGAGGCCCTTTTTTTATATTGATTTTTTTCATTCACGCTAGTCCCCCAAAAATTACAATTTAGCATTGCCGACTCCAGCGCGTCTAACGTAATAACCAGACAAGTTACAACGTCCGTTCTTTTTTGAGTCTCAAGAGCAGAAATGCATGCTTTGGGTGCACTAAATGAGAATTACCATAAATACAAGGATACACCTTAAATTGTATGTTGAAAAGTACCAAAAATTAAGTCGGCCCAGACAGAGCGGCGACAGGGAGCTGACCCCCGTGACCCCGACGTGATAAGGCGCCTGGCGCGGAACTCCCCGCGGCAACAAAAATTCCACTGCCGGTGCGCCGTGGCCTGATTACACCACATCATAACACATGTGTCTGAGAAGCCAAAGCACATAAAGGCATTTATTACATCAAAGTAAAGTCCAGGTGCATTTGCTTTGTTTTAGGTTGTTCGTGTAAAGAGAAGGACAGAATCAATTAAAAACAACCAAAGTAAAAAAATACCTAAAAAAAAGATATCAAAACAGGGTAAATGCTCTGTACACAGAAAAAAGGAACATTTATAACTAAACACTTAAAAGAGGAAATCTGCATCTTATCCAAAAAAAATCAAACTCAAATTACAACAATCGGAAATATACAACCACCCACAAACTTACTCTTGGAAGAAAAAAAAACTGAAACAGAAAAGAAGAAAGAAATAAGAAACCTTACCGGTTAGAAAAACAATTTGGTAACTTAATAAAAATTTACATTACGACCGCGCTCACACATTATCCACAAATGTCTAGCACTCAATAGCTACGCGATTCAGCATTTTTATTTCATTTTCAAAGTAATGAGTTACGTCCCGACTTAATCTCCACATCTACTCCTATTGGAAAAAATGTTTCACGACAGAGCTCACCAAGTTGTCTCAAATCATGCCAAGAAACTGGACATAAACAGACCTCACCCTCAAGTAACCCCTGATGGTGTTTGTAAGTTTGGACAAAGTCTGCAGTGTCTCAACTGTCACCAAGAACGGACCAGTAGAAGCAGGTTCGCTTTATTTAAACTTCAGGGTTTTCTTCCACTGAGCTGGGGTTTTTTATTGAAAGAGGCTACTCAAACAGCCGGCAAAAAAAAAGGGGGAGATAAAAAAATTATTTTGGTGTACCTCTGTTTTCAGATAAACCATGTTCGATTTAAGTAGATTTAAGTAGACCCCACTGTGCTAGGTAACCAACACAGCCCAGGGAAAATCAAACCATGTGACATCTTGTAGGTAGGAAAACATTCAGAGACTCCACCCATTTCATCACAGTTGTCCAGCTCATACTTTCGATTTCTTTTGACGTATAAAAAGATTCAGTTCCTCTTCACACTACAATAATCATAGAAACTTCAAAGTAGCGTCTCCTTTCCAAGTGCAGTTGACATCAATGACTTTAAAGATTAGAATTTAAGCAATGCTCCTACCCCCACCCCACCCCCAAAAAAAAAAAACAACCCCCCCCCAATAAAAACACAACACCAACAACAATAGGCAAGTATTGTTAACAAGGCTAAAAAATGTAATAAATATCTTGGCATTACAGTAATATGTGACAAGTCCTGACGGTTTGGCCCACTAGGTACGCATTTCATAGTTTACATTTTTTATACAGTTATAGAGAGGTCAAATTCATTCTATTTCACTAAACAAATTCAAATGATTAAGATATTCAACTAAACAAATACTAGCTCAAAATTGGAATGCTCCACTGCTGTCCGAGGCCAAATACGCAGATATTCGCCATAAACAACTTGACGGATATCTCCATAGAAACATACATTTTCTGAAACTGCTTAAAACACATGCTTTTCAGTATACTTTCAAGATTTTTCAAATTGATCCTTCGACAAATAAGTCTAAAATAGAGACTAAATTAGGAAAAAAAAAATGTTTAAGCCACAACAAGTGTTTTCAACAATTTCGACTGTTCAGCCCCACGTAGGCCTACCTTGCGGACCTAACTGTCAAAACAAGTCACACAAGCAATGGATGAATTCTCTTAAAAATAAAAAAAAACCTGAAAAAAAAAGGAATAAATGCAACAAGCAAAAAGAAGCAAAGACAATTTACTAAAGGACCAAAGTGCATCACATGTAGTTTAATAATAAACTCGATATTATCGTTGTACGTTAATCTGGACTGTACGGTTTGGTCAGGTTTTCTGAGAAGTCTTTGATCTTGTCCACCCCTCTCACTTCCTCTGGCAGCAAGGGCAGCTTCGTCACGTGGAAATCTTCATACAGATCCACAATCTAGAACGAGTGCAGACAGTACATAGGGTTTGAGTACAGAGAAGCACATCGAGCACAATTATGGTCATAAAGTGCAGAGAAGATGGAAGACAGATAGACTGAAACAACAGATGCAGAGAAAAGAAATGGCACCAAGTGCAAATAGCTCACATTAAAATTAGTAAAGCAGATTTTAAAAATCGAAAGAAATAATGTTTGAATTGACAACGACAATGACAAGGACAATCTTTCTTCATCTCACAGGGAAAAACTTGTCTTGGTCGTTTACAATGGCAGTGGAATATTACAGGCGTTGGGTGCACTCACACATACACACAAGACAGGACATTATGTCGCCCGAATCACGTACTGTCGTGACCGACATATCACCCGAAATCGAGTTTATAATAGAACTCCAATACAATTTTTACATTCTAAATAGGATTTGATACCTTTAATGGTCATCGACATACACATGGTTCATGAGGTGTCGTAACCCTAACTTGCAAAGTGACGCGCATAAATCGTAAACCTGCTCCTGGTCTATGTTGTTGTTTTGCCGATTCAACCTATTTTCATAGTTGCAAGTATGTTCATATTACTGATTCATCCATTTGTGAAACTCAACCACCCGTAACTACCGGTAAAATGCCCCACCAAGCTTTTTTCTTTCAAAATAGAATAACGTAACTGTAACTTTATAGTTTGTTTTGTCTTTTAAGAACTATGGTAAGTGCCATATTGTGTAGTGAGAGAGACTGTACCGCTACATACTTTGCATTCACATACTAGTGACATATTTTTCACTAAGTAAGCAATTAAATTGATTTTCTGAAGCAGTGACAGAAAATATGGCATAAAGTCCATACACAAACCAAAAATCAATAAGATATTACTTTCCGTTCATTCACAACAAGACTTGAAAAATTGCGCAAATCTTTAAACCACCGTAGCTCGAAACTCTATTTTTGTCGGTTACGACAGTACGTGATTCAGGCGACGATTAGTAAACACACGTCTGATGTGCTGAGACAACCCCGCTCTGTAAAACATTTGCTCTCTCTCTCTGTTTCATTTGTAGAGATGAGTGTTCAGTAACCTCACTGAAGTTGGAATGAATGAATTTCTATACTTAATAATTCGCACACTGCACTGCACCTCCACGGTGAAAAGAGAAAAGTTTCAGTCACAAAGACCAAACAGAAACAGTAAAAGAGCTAAAAAAAACGCGGAGCTGATGTAAACACAACATTGTCACCGCAGGAGCAGCGCCAAACGTGAAGGACATCAACAAGTGAAAGAAATCAGCACAAAAACAGTTAATTGGAGCATGGAAAGAGGAAGAGACAGACAGACAGACAGACAGACAGACACATAAGAGGGAAAAAAAAGGAAGTAGGATCTATCAGTTTCCAATACCACATGCTTCAGATGACAAGAAGAAAGAGGACAAAAATCTGCATTAAAAGACTTCAGTTCAATTGACTTGAATAGTAACATATGTGGGCAGGCTGGCATGCTCCATACAGAACATTCATTCCGAAACCAAAAAGAACTGTATAATATAGAAGAGAAAAAATAACAAATAGACAGTGGAGACCGCTAAAACCAAAACCTCAAGGCCACTGGATTTTCTTTCGCTTGCCCGGGTTTTCAGTTCAAAGGTTGCACAAATAAAAGAAAAAAAAATTGGGGATTTTATTTTCTTTAAGTTGACCGCTATTTTCAGATTAACTGTGTTTGGTATAGCGGACTCCACTGTGTATGGGGTACAAAGTGTTACGTGTTTCTGGGGAAAAATAAGTCTGAATCTTACATTCACTGGGCAAGTATGATTAACCTCTTAGCCCTAGCCATCGGTACACTGGTGAAAAGTAAAATTGCCCGTAAGCCTCACCACCGGTAAACCAGTGAGTGAGACCCTATCCCCAAACTGGCCTGCCTGACAAAACGAACATGCAAAACAGTGTTTATTACACAGGGCATTATTGATTATTTTGAAGATCTTTCTGAATTAGATGCCGGTAATGACAAGGACTACCCTATGATATGAAAGCAAGTTCTATAGACATGAATGATTCAGGAGCTCAGGCAGAGGGGCATGGTATGAGGTCAAGGCTCAAGGGGTCAAGAAGTCTAAACAGAGTGGGGAGAAGCATAAACAGTCAGGTTGACTTCTCACCTGGTCCAAATACTTCGACTGAATCTTGTGTCTGGCCTCACACATACGGCAGGTCTTCTCTCCCTTGCGTAGAAAGTTGAGTTGGTTCACGATGATGTTGTGAGTATCGATGCCAAACTGGGTCAACTCCTGGACCAGTCGCTCTGTCTCATACAAGGACAGGAACTCCGCAATACACACGCACACAAACGTCGTCTGGTCCTGGGTACCGAAAACAAAACACACAAAAAGTAGGAGAAAATCTGCCAAAATTCAAGCTTGAGAAAACCTGGTACATATCCCAGTTGAGAATATTATAGGCTAATTCAAACTAGTGTAGAACATACACAGCGAAATCTTTCCAATACAAAATCCACTATGTACGTGTTTTAAATAGAAAGAATTTACATGTACACAAAAAATTCGGGACCTGAAAATCTGTTTGCTATGTGTGCGTTCTTGATTGTTTTTCTAACAAAACAGTTCCAAACACACAGAAGTTGTTTTTGTGAAAGTAAAATTCCCTTCTAAATACAATGAATAACTCATTTTGTCAACACATATTTTTCCGAAAAGCAGGGCAGATAACTCACAGCATTCTTGAACTGTGTGTTCACTTGTCGTATCGTGGCCAACATCTCCTCAAACTTGTTGGACATCTGGTCAGCGTTCAGGTCCTGCATGCCCATCAGCCCTGCTATCTATAAAAGAAACAAAATGCCAACTGTTAAAATAATGCCACTGTCTAAAAAAGAAAAGAAAAAAAAAGAAGAAAGAAGAAAAATGCGACGTTCTTGACATGTTTCTTTTCTTAAATTACAATCCTTTCGTGAAATAGCTCATCCTGTTAGTCTCATAAAAAAAGTAACAGAGGGTTACCAGGTCAGTATGATCAGACCTGGTTTGAAAACATTCCCAGTCTACAACTTAAAGGAATACAAAAACCTGATAACATTTGTGTAATTTTAGCAAGCTCCCAGCTAATCTTAGCATCTCTCCTGCCTGCATCATATCTCCATATCAGCATTTTAAAAGAAAAAGAGTATATTCAAAGAGTATGTTATTATTATAAACTCTCCCCCCCCCCCCACTTTTACTTTGAGAGTTCAGGTAGTTGAGATCAAATATGAAAATATGAGATGGTCAGAGTATCCAGTCACACTATTAGAGAAATATGTGTGGTTCTGAGAAAATCTATCAAAAGGTGAGCAGTTTTTCAGCCTTTTTTCTGCTGATGCAATATTCATGCACACTTGATTTCCCAAGAAAGGCAGCGGGGGGGAAAAAAATCAGTTTCGTTCGGTATAGTACTGTGAATTACAGTGGTTCTTTGCACGAAGTTTAGTGTCTTTCCACTGGAGGAAACAATTGATAAATTTAACGAAACTTAGCCGCTACATGTCCTCAAAATATAGCCAAACTAAGACGGTCACCTGGCTGATAAAAGGGCTGATCTGATTCTTGAGCCGAAGAAGCTTCCCTAGTCCCTTCTCCACCACAGAGGGAAAGGAAAGCAGACGCAGAGTGTGGCCGGTGGGCGCCGTGTCAAAAACGACAACCGAGAAGTTCATGTTCTTCACTAATCTGGAGAGAGATAGGAAAGAACAAAACAGAATAAAATAAACACGGCAGGCGAAGTTAAGACCCCTACCCCCTCCCTACTCATATTTGATTTGTTAACGAACCAG